TTTTTTTGGTACCTTTTTTTCACCGGAAAGGACCCGTAAAGTGATAATGATTATCATCTACATATCACAACGTGCGTGGAGGCCATCAAACCACGTCAAATAATCAATTATGACGCAGGTATCGTATTAATTGATCTGCATCAACTTAACGTAAAAACAACTTCAGACAATACAAATCAGCGACACTGAATACGGGGCAACCTCATGTCAACGAAGAACAGAACCCGCAGAACAACAACCCGCAACATCCGCTTTCCTAACCAAATGATTGAACAAATTAACATCGCTCTTGAGCAAAAAGGGTCCGGGAATTTCTCAGCCTGGGTCATTGAAGCCTGCCGTCGGAGACTAACGTCAGAAAAGAGAGCATATACATCAATTAAAAGTGATGAAGAATGAACATCCCGCGTTCTTCCCTCCGAACAGGACGATATTGTAAATTCACTTAATTACGAGGGCATTGCAGTAATTGAGTTGCAGTTTTACCACTTTCCTGACAGTGACAGACTGCGTGTTGGCTCTGTCACAGACTAAATAGTTTGAATGATTAGCAGTTATGGTGATCAGTCAACCACCAGGGAATAATCCTTCATATTATTATCGTGCTTCACCAACGCTGCCTCAATTGCTCTGAATGCTTCCAGAGACACCTTATGTTCTATACATGCAATTACAACATCAGGGTAACTCATAGAAATGGTGCTATTAAGCATATTTTTTACACGAATCAGATCCACGGAGGGATCATCAGCAGATTGTTCTTTATTCATTTTGTCGCTCCATGCGCTTGCTCTTCATCTAGCGGTTAAAATATTACTTCAAATCTTTCTGTATGAAGATTTGAGCACGTTGGCCTTACATACATCTGTCGGTTGTATTTCCCTCCAGAATGCCAGCAGGACCGCACTTTGTTACGCAACCAATACTATTAAGTGAAAACATTCCTAATATTTGACATAAATCATCAACAAAACACAAGGAGGTCAGACCAGATTGAAACGATAAAAACGATAATGCAAACTACGCGCCCTCGTATCACATGGAAGGTTTTACCAATGGCTCAGGTTGCCATTTTTAAAGAAATATTCGATCAAGTGCGAAAAGATTTAGACTGTGAATTGTTTTATTCTGAACTAAAACGTCACAACGTCTCACATTATATTTACTATCTAGCCACAGATAATATTCACATCGTGTTAGAAAACGATAACACCGTGTTAATAAAAGGACTTAAAAAGGTTGTAAATGTTAAATTCTCAAGAAACACGCATCTTATAGAAACGTCCTATGATAGGTTGAAATCAAGAGAAATCACATTTCAGCAATACAGGGAAAATCTTGCTAAAGCAGGAGTTTTCCGATGGGTTACAAATATCCATGAACATAAAAGATATTACTATACCTTTGATAATTCATTACTATTTACTGAGAGCATTCAGAACACTACACAAATCTTTCCACGCTAAATCATAACGTCCGGTTTCTTCCGTGTCAGCACCGGGGCGTTGGCATAATGCAATACGTGTACGCGCTAAACCCTGTGTGCATCGTTTTAATTATTCCCGGACACTCCCGCAGAGAAGTTCCCCGTCAGGGCTGTGGACATAGTTAATCCGGGAATACAATGACGATTCATCGCACCTGACATACATTAATAAATATTAACAATATGAAATTTCAACTCATTGTTTAGGGTTTGTTTAATTTTCTACACATACGATTCTGCGAACTTCAAAAAGCATCGGGAATAACACCATGAAAAAAATGCTACTCGCTACTGCGCTGGCCCTGCTTATTACAGGATGTGCTCAACAGACGTTTACTGTTCAAAACAAACCGGCAGCAGTAGCACCAAAGGAAACCATCACCCATCATTTCTTCGTTTCTGGAATTGGGCAGAAGAAAACTGTCGATGCAGCCAAAATTTGTGGCGGCGCACATTATCCACGCCGGAGGCGGTGGTGGCTTCACGCACTGACTGACAGACTGCTTTGATGTGCAACCGACGACGACCAGCGGCAACATCATCACGCAGAGCATCATTTTCAGCTTTAGCATCAGCTAACTCCTTCGTGTATTTTGCATCGAGCGCAGCAACATCACGCTGACGCATCTGCATGTCAGTAATTGCCGCGTTCGCCAGCTTCAGTTCTCTGGCATTTTTGTCGCGCTGGGCTTTGTAGGTAATGGCGTTATCACGGTAATGATTAACAGCCCATGACAGGCAGACGATGATGCAGATAACCAGAGCGGAGATAATCGCGGTGACTCTGCTCATACATCAATCTCTCTGACCGTTCCGCCCGCTTCTTTGAATTTTGCAATCAGGCTGTCAGCCTTATGCTCGAACTGACCATAACCAGCGCCCGGCAGTGAAGCCCAGATATTGCTGCAACGGTCGATTGCCTGACGGATATCACCACGATCAATCATAGGTAAAGCGCCACGCTCCTTAATCTGCTGCAATGCCACAGCGTCCTGACTTTTCGGAGAGAAGTCTTTCAGGCCAAGCTGCTTGCGGTAGGCATCCCACCAACGGGAAAGAAGCTGGTAGCGTCCGGCGCCTGTTGATTTGAGTTTTGGGTTTAGCGTGACAAGTTTGCGAGGGTGATCGGAGTAATCAGTAAATAGCTCTCCGCCTACAATGACGTCATAACCATGATTTCTGGTTTTCTGACGTCCGTTATCAGTTCCCTCCGACCACGCCAGCATATCGAGGAACGCCTTACGTTGATTATTGATTTCTACCATCTTCTACTCCGGCTTTTTTAGCAGCGAAGCGTTTGATAAGCGAACCAATCGAGTCAGTACCGATGTAGCCGATAAACACGCTCGTTATATAAGCGAGATTGCTACTTAGTCCGGCGAAGTCGAGAAGGTCACGAATGAACTAGGCGATAATGGCGCACATCGTTGCGTCGATTACTGTTTTTGTAAACGCACCGCCATTATATCTGCCGCGAAGGTACGCCATTGCAAACGCAAGGATTGCCCCGATGCCTTGTTCCTTTGCCGCGAGAATGGCGGCCAACAGGTCATGTTTTTCTGGCATCTTCATGTCTTACTCCCAATAAGGGGATTTGCTCTATTTAATTAGGAATAAGGTCGATTACTGATAGAACAAATCCAGGCTACTGTGTTTAGTAATCAGATTTGTTCGTGACCGATATGCACGGGCAAAACGGCAGGAGGTTGTTAGCGCAAAAAAAAATTCCAAAAAAAAAATTCCAAAAAAAAAAGCGACTAACAAACACAATCGTAAGCCTAAAACTTAAAGGAATTGACGGAAGGGCACCACCAAGAGTGGAGCCTCGCGGCTTAATTTGACTCAACACGGGAAACTTACCGAGTCCGGACATAGTAAGGATTGACTGGATCGAGAGCTCTTTCTTTTTTTTTTTGATTTAAATGTAAGTATATAAATCAAAAGTGAAACTAGCTGGAGAACCATAAGAGTAACATATACGGGATTTACAAAAATTAGGAACAGTGCTCCCAAGAAACCGAACCGTAGCTATATCTAGATGGTTACTCAAGGAATCTATCTAGCAGAGATTCCAAGAAAAACCAAACAGAAACAAGTAGAAGCTAGACTGGAACCATTTGCAAAAAGCTCCATAGCGATACGAAACTTTGCTTGAAAAAGCATAAATGAGTAAAGCCTACCAATTTACATAAGCAACTTTGAATACGACAGAAAACCAAAGTCGGCTGAGACAAGAACACATGGGCCGGCAGTAGCCAAGATCGGGAAGGGCGAGCGAGTATCCCCTTATAGCACAAGCGAGACCGGGAACTTGTAGAAGACGACAACGACAAGCAAGGCTTGACCTCACAAGCAGGACCAAAAAATGAACCGAGAGACCTTAACGAGCCGACTAGGCCCGCCCAAGTAAGTGCTAGCGGGCATGACCAGCAGAGGAAGCAGACAGAACCAAAAGCGACCTCTCGGTTAGAGGCGGTCACCCAATTTGGAGCTACACCGGGTTAACGATGAAGAGAGGCTAGGCTACGGGGCAAAAGCCAAGGAAGACCGAGAGGAGGACCAACCTCACTAGACCCTCGCCGCGAATGAAATAGAACCGACGACCCGAGGGAGGCGAAGTAGAGATAAGTAGCCAAAACCAATTAGGGAACCAGCAGAGCTTAACCCAAATTAATCTAATCGGACGTAACGTAATCACCGAGCCCAACAAGGAGAGAACCCACATGGTAGAACCTCTCGGTGGCGGACGGATGCAGGATTAACCAAGCAAGAGCCACCAAAGCGAGAAAACCATCGGTATAGGTAACAAAACCCACCGCAATTTATGAAGGAAGGTCCGGCCTACTATTACGCAATCCCACCCATCAAAAGCTTCGAAGAACAACCCAAACGAGGCGAGCTACGGAACAAGACACTAGGCGAGCTGCTGGAACAAGACACTAGAGGCGAAACAAAAAAAGAGCGAGAAACAAAATGGACCTAACCTCTCGAGAAGCAAGCGGACTCCCAACCGGAAATGACACAGCCAAGGAGCGACTAGCGAGTAGCCACATTAATTGGAATAGCGATCGCTAGACCCGAAAACTTGAGCACACAAACATCCGAATAAGGGAAAAAGTTAAAGTGATCCCACATGCAAAAGGATGTGATTTTTACAAAAAACCGACGTTTAGGTCGAGAAAATACACTTTTTAGTTTTTTGAGACAATCGAGCATGCAAGGTTTTGAGTTCCGGGAAAACTAGAAAAGCGTATTTTCTCGACCTAAACGTCGTTTTTTCTCAAAAATCACCCCCAGTGTCATGGCCAAAGGCAATGAGTTTTATCGTTGGCTCGTTTGCCATCTAACTAGGTCTAAAACTACTCAATACTTGGACGACCATTTTTAGGTGAAAATCAAGCTCGACTCACGGTCGAGCCCGATGAGTCTCTGTGGTTATCACATTGGCTATGATGCGAGTCCCAAAAACCTCAAACCGGGAGTTACATTTTCTCTATAGATTGTTTCATGCTCATTCACAATGGTCTTTCCAGGAACTCGAAAGCTCGCATGCCCGCCTTATCTCGAAAAACTAGAAAAACGTATTTTCTTGGCCTAAACGTCGTTTTTTAACAAATGTCACCCCTAGGTCATGGACAAAGGAAATGATTTTTTATCGTTGGCTCGTTTGCCATCCAACTGGGTCTAAAACTCGCTCAAAACTTGATTGGTCATTTTTGGGCGAAAATCAACCTCAGCTCATAGTAGAGGCCGATGAGTCTCTATGGTTGTCACTTTGGCTATGATGTAGGTCCCAAAAACCTCAAACCAGGAATTACACTTTCTCTATAGATTGTTTCACACTCGTTCACATCGGCCCTTCTAGGAACTCGAAAGCTCGAATGCCCGCATTATCTCGAAAAACTAGAAAAGCGTATTTTCTCGGCCTAAACATCGAATCGGGTCTAAAACCGCTCAAAACTTAGTCATGGCCAAGTTTTTTTTCCAAAATCACCCTCGTGTCATGGCCAAAAGGCAATCGGCTTTATCGTTGGATCGTTTGCCATCGAACCGGGTCTAAAACTCGCTCAAAACTTGGTCGGCCTTTTTTGGGCAAATATCAACCTTAGCTCACGGTCGAGGCCAATGAGACTCGTGGTTGTCACTTTGGCTATGATGTAGGTACCAAAAATCTCAAACCATGTATTACAGTTTCTCTATAGATTGTTTCACGCTCGTTCACAATGTCCCTTCAAGGAACTCGAAAGCTCACATGCTCGCATTGTCTCGAAAAACTAGAAAAGCATATTTTCTCGACCTCAATGTTGTTTTTTTCTCAAAAATACCCCTGTGTCATGGCGAAAGGCAATCGGTTTTATCGTTGGCTCGTTTGCCATCGAACTAGGCCTAAAACTGCTCAAAACTTAGTCGGCCATTTTTGGACGAAAATCAACCTCGACTCACGATCGAGGCCGATGAGTGTCTATGGTTGTCACTTTGGCTATGATGTAGGTCCAAAAACCTCAAACCAGGTATTACAGTTTCTCTATAGATTGTTTCTCGCTCGTTCACATCATCCCTTCCGAGAACTCGAAAGCTCGCATGCCTGGATTATCTCGAAAAACTAGAAAAGTGTATTTTCTCGACCTAAACGTTGTTTTTTTGCAAAAATGACCCCGTATCATGTCCAAAGGCAATGAGTTTTTATCGTTGGCTTGTTTGGCATCGAGTTAGGTCTAAAACAACTCAAAACTTGGTCGGTCATTTTTGGGCGAAAATCAACCTCGACTCACAGTCGAGGCCGATGAGTCTCTGTGGTTGTCACTTTGGCTATGATGTAGGTCCCAAAAATCACAAGCCGGGAATTACACTTTCTCTATAGATTGTTTCACGCTCGTTAACACCGGCCCTTCCGAGAACTCGAAAGCTCGCATACCCGCATTATCTCAAAAAACTAGAAAAGCGTATTTTCTTGGCCTGAACGTCGTTGCTTTGCAAAAATCAGCCCTAGGTCATGGCCAAAGGCGATGAGTTTTTATCGTTGGCTTGTTTGCGCATCGAGTTAGGTCTAAAACAACTCAAAACTTGGTCGGTCATTTTTGGGCGAAAATCAACCTCAGCTCACGGTCGAGGCCGATGAGTCTCTGTGGTTGTCACTTTGGCTATGATGTAGGTCCCAAAAATCACAAGCCAGGAATTACACTTTCTCTATAGATTGTTTCACGCTCGTTAACACCGGCCCTTCCAGAACTCGAAAGCTCGCATACCCGCATTGTCTCAAAAAACTAGAAAAGCGTATTTTCTTGGCCTAAACGTCGTTGCTTTGCAAAAATCAGCCCTAGGTCATGGCCAAAGGCGATGAGTTTTTATCGTTGGCTCGTTTGCCCTCGAACTAGGTCTAAAGCTTCCCAACATTTGGTCGGTCATTTTTGGGCGAAAATCAACCTCGGCTTATGGTCGAGGTCGATGAGTCTTTGTGGTTGTCACTTTGGCTATGATGTAGGTCCCAAAAACCTCAAACCAGGTACTATAGTTTCTCTATAGATTGTTTCACGCTCGTTCACACCGGCCCTTCTAGGAACTCAAAAGCTCACATGTCCGCATTATCTCGAAAAACTAGAAAAGTGTATTTTCTCGACCTAAACGTTGTTTTTTTTGCAAAAATGACCTCCAGATCATGTCCAAAGGCAATGAGTTTTTGTCGTTGGCTCATTTTCCATCGAACTAGGTTAAAAACAGCTCAAAACATGGTCGGTCGTTTTTGGGCGAAAATCAACCTCGGCTAACAGTCGAGGCCGATGAGTCTCTGTGGTTGTCACTTTGTCTATGATGTAGGTCCCAAAAACCTCAAACCAAGAATTACACATTCTCTATAGATTGTTTCATGCTCGTTAACACCGACCCTTCCAAGAACTCGAAAGCTCGCATGCCCACATTATCTCAAAAAACTAGAAAAGCGTATTTTCTCGACCTAAACGTCGTTTTTTGTAAAAATCAGCCCCGAGTTATGGCGAAAGGCGATGTGTTTTTATCGTTGGCTCGTTTGCCCTCGAACTCGGGTCTAAAACGGCCCAATATTTGGTCGGCCATTTTTGGGAAAAAATCAAACTCAACTCACGGTCGAAGTCGATGAGTCTCCGTGGTTGTTACTTTGGCTATGATGTAGGTCCCAAAAATCTCAAACCAGGTATTACAGTTTATATATAGATTGTTTCACGCTCGTTAACACCGACCCTTCCAGGAACTCGAAAGCTCGCATGCCCGCATTGCTCGACAAACTAGAAAAGTGTATTTTCTCGACCTAAATGTTGTTTTTTTGCAAAAATCACCCCCATATCATGGCCAAAGGCAATGAGTTTTTTTCATTGGCTCGTTTGCCATCAACTCAAAACTTGGTCGGCCATTATTGGGCGAAAATCAACCTCGACTCGCAGTCGAGGCCGATGAGTCTCCGTGGTTGTCACATTGGCTATGATGTACGTCCCAAAAACCTCAAACCAGGAATTATAGTTTCTCTATAGATTGTTTCATGCTCATTCACAATGGTCTTTCCAGGAACTCGAAAGCTCGCATGCCCGCCTTATCTC